CGGTAGGCTCCATCGCCTCCCACATCTCGCTCATCAGCGCCAGAGCCCGCTGCCACTGCCTGCCCTCCTTGCACGCGCTGCTCCCAGCGCTGTAGCTGACTGGGGCTAGCCCATGGCCCGCTGGCCCGGAGATCTGTTTGAGAGAGAGCGTGGAGTCAGCGCAAATGTGTTGCCAGAAGCTTCGTGATGACGCTCCTGCTAGCTGGCGCGCGAGAAGGGTTCCCTTGGGACCCTCTCGCGCCTCCAACGGCCATCTGGGCCTCCCTTGGTGCTTCTGGTTTCTGCCGTGGAAGATTGCAGGCGGGATCTGGGAGCGCTCTGGCTGGGCCCTGGGCTCGCGTTCGAAAGGTCTCGGGCCGTCTTGGGGGCCAGCCGTGCCCTTCCTTGACTACCTACCAGACCACCCCAACCCAACCCGAAGACCCGAATTTCGGGTTGGGGGGGGGTAAGGGTTCCATACGTGGTTTTTCGATGTTCCGCGACCCCCCCCCCACTGGAAATGGAGGGCAAATCTGAGCCTTCGGGTTGGGTTGGGGTGGTTTGGTGGGTGGTGATTCCTGGGGTCATCTTGAGGGCGCCGCGGGGCCTCATGCGAGCTCTCGCGGGTCCAGAGGGCCCGCTGGCAGGTGCCCCGGGCCTGCGGATAGCGATCCGGGAGCCGAAACGTGGAGAGCGGTGAACATACACTACAACCAGTCGGACTTTACTTGTTTCAGGTCGGGCATGTCCCCCATACAGAGGGATTTTGGCAGAAAGTTCAAAATACCCAAAAAATACCCCAAACATGCTCAAACATTTTGTTTACCCAGACAATTGTTCGACTATCTTTGAATATTCCCCCCCAAGAGGGACGGGCCCGACTCAATACTTGTTTCCGCCTGCTGGGCGAAATCGACGTAGTGGGCAGCTGTCGGCGTCAGCTTGGGGTGCCTTGGGGGAGCCGTGGAGTCCGGAGCGGCCTGGCGCCCTCCGAGGGCTTCCCAGGGCCGTCGGAGGCCGTCTCGAAGGCACTGCATCGCCGTCTGGGGCCCCCAAGGAGACTCTAGGAGTAAGTCGGGCGTGTCCCCCTACAGGGGAGTTTTCGACGGAAAATGCAACATATCTAAAAAATGCTCCAAAATGATCAGAAAAATATTCCAAAAATAGTCCCCAGACTATTTTTGAACTATTTTTGAACATTCCTCCTGTAGAGGGACAGGCCCGACTTAAACCCCAGGAAGACTCCAGGAGGCGCCGGGAGCATTTGCGTCGCGCTCTGAGGGCGGCCCCACGGGGGCCAGCACGAGAGCCACTCGGCACACAACGGGTCATGCACGCGCAGGCTTCTGCACAGTCGAAGCGACTCGGGCTGGTCCGCGGCCTTACGTCCGCGGCAGCTTGCCTGCGTGCACTGGCGAATGCCGCTTGCTTCTTGCATGCTGGCCTGCACGCATGGCTGCTAAACTGTTGGCCTGGCGGCTTTCTCCATGGCCTTCCTCCTTTCGTGCTGTACGGCTCGCCTCATGTCGTCCTTGCCTGGTTTCTCGATTCATGACTTGCTCGTCCGATCGCTGAGCTTACTGCCGCTCGCAGCTGAGTGATGCTGCATGCTGCTTACTGACGCGGCTGCGAGGCTGCGAGATGCCTGCTGTTGCTGCCTGGCGCGGCTGCCTTCTGCTGCTGACTGCTGCTCAGGCCTGCCGTTGCCGCTGCTGCTCGCGCTGCTGCTTCCCCGGGGCCCCCTGGGGCCGTCGGGAGATTCCTCGAGGCCGTCTGGGGGTCCTCCTGGGGGCGCTCTTTGCGGCCGTCCTGGGGTCGTCTTGGGCCGTGCCGGAAGCCGTCCTCGAGGCGCGCCGGGCCACTCCGAGGCCGTGCGAGGCCCTGCCGAAGGAATCCAGGGACGAGAAGCCTGGAACGTCAGACATCGAGAAGCACACAAGAGCTTGAGGCGATCGTGTTCTTTGTTGCCGATCGGCGCGGGCTCTCGCACCCCCTCCCCCCCGATGGAGCAGATGTTGGCTGCTTCTGGCGCCAATTTCAAGCAGGTGGACTCTCCCCCATGGGACGCACTGTTGCAAACAATTGCATCATACAGAGGTCCGGAGCCAGACACTCCCTCCTGCCCCCCTTCTGCCCAATGTCGAACTGCCGAATATGACAACGACGTTCACGAGGCAATTGCGATGTTGCCCATCTGCGCCCCCCCCCCAGGACCTCTCGGAACCCCTCTTGTGAGCATCGTTTAACCGACCCCTACCCCCACCGGCGTGTCCTGGGCCCCACCGGTCGATTTACTCCCCTAGATGGGGTGCTGAGATCGTCGTGTTCGGGCATCGGGTATGGGGCTAGGTCTGTCTCAAATGATACTGATCTTGGAGGCTTGAAGGGGCCCTCGGACACACAAATAAATACACACTAATAAACATATTCCCCATATGTTCCCAGATGTTCTGGGTTTTTGTCTTCCCCCCCACTTCCCATATTTTCCCATATTCTCTGGGGAATCGACGATGAATTGTGTCTGTGTGTTTTTTTCCTTCCTGGAGGCTGGCGTGCGCGCCCTGTCGTGGCGCCTCTTGTGAGCCCCATCGGGAGCCGAGCTCTTCTGACACAGCGTGACCCCCGGCATTTCTGCACGTACTGGCGCCTCTTGGGGGCAGTCGCGCAGTTCCAGAATGACGAACCAACAATACACACCCATACCCATAGGGAGATCGGAGAGGGCTGTGGGTACGTGTTGTCGGATGGGGGTCCCCGCTCGAACGGGAGCGTTCCCCAGGGTCCGACAACCCGCACCCATACCCATAGCCAGTCCTCCTCCCAACGACCCCCCTATGGGTATGGGTACGTGTTGTTCGTTCGTCACAGAAAACTTGTGAGGCCTGCCCGAGCCAAGCGGAAGCGACCAGACGGGCAGACAGGTCGGACGGAGTCGTGCCTGCAGGGCCCTCCGACTCCCGGCAACTCCCCGTCGCTCGGACGCCCATTCCCTGTGTGTTTTTCGGTTTCGTGCGTGTTTTTTTTTCGCAGGATGGTCCAGGATGCTCCTTAATAATCCCCGCCGAGAAAAAAGTGCACACGTCCGAGTGATGACGTCGGGCTCCAGCTTCGCCTCCCGCATCTCGCTCAGCAGCGCCAGAGCACGCGGCCACTGCCCGTCATTCCCGCACGCGCTGATCCCAGCGTTGTAGCTGACCAGGGCTGACCCGTGGGCGAAGCACGTCCACGACAGCCGCAAACAAATGGCACAGGACGAGAGACGTCTTGTGGTGTGCATGTCATGACAATGGACACTCTAACAATCCCAGCATTGAATTTAAGACGCACTTTAAATGTAAAAAATATGTTTAGAAAATGTTTCAAACATGTTTAAAAAACATAAAAACATATGCAAACCATATTTGAAACATCTTCTAGACATCTGGAAACTACTTGGCAGCATGCATCCTCTCCATTAATCGACTTCCACAAATCTTGTGGCCCGTGCCCTCGGGGAAGAGACGAGGCGATCTTGGGCTCACCTTCGGGCCAGAGGAGGGCCATCTGGGAGCTCCCTTCAGGCCTCTCGGGGCCATGTTGGGCCGTTGATGGGCTCTCGCGGGGCCGTCTGGCAGCTTGGGGGCAAACCTTGAAGCCGGCCTGACCATCTTGGGCTACCCTAAGGGCTGTCCCGGCCTTCCTGAGCGCCCTCGTGGGCCCGAGGGGCATGCCTTGCAACATCACCGAACATGTACGGAACACGTTCGGGTGTTGATGACTTTCGCCTCTTGGGGGCCCCGCGCGGGCCAAGTTGGCTCATTCTCGGGGCGTCTTGGGGCGTCTGGGGCCGTCTCGGGGGCCTGCTCGGCGGATGTACGCGCTTCCTGGGAGTCTTGGGCCGCAGGGGGGGCCGCAGAAAGCTCCATTGCCACCGGGCGCGTCTGGGCCGATTCTAAGGCACTTGCGCGAGTGGTTCTCTAACACACCAAGCATTCTGGAGATAATGACATTGGGCTCAAGCTTCGTCTCCCGCATCGCGCTGAGCAGCGCAAAAGCAAACTGCCAATGCGTGTCCTTCTCGCACGCGCTGATCACAGCGCTATAGCTGACGACGTCGGGCTCTAATTTCGCTTCCCGCATCTCCGTGAGCATTGCCAACGCCCGCTGCCACTGCCCGCACTTCTCGCAGGCGCTGATCCCAGCATTATAGCTGACTAGGGCTGACCCGTTGAATACTGTCCACGAATGCCAGTGGTCAGAGTGCGCTTCCTGCTGCTCATTGCTTCAGTGTGCGCTATTTGCTAGATGATTCCGAGGGCGCTCAGAGACGCGCTAGCAGAATCAGCTGCAGCAGATTCAGGGGCAGGGGCAGCAGCAGCAGCAGTAGCTCCAGCTCCTTCTGCTCCTCCTCCTCTTCCTCCTCATATTGGCTCGTCCTCGTCCTCCGCATCCTCCTCCTACTTCTGCGTCTCCTCCTGCTCGTCGTCGTGCTTGGCCCGTCTTCGCCCTACGGCTCATGCTGCTCCTCCTCCTCGTCCCCCTTCAGAAAAATCGTGCGGCTCCGACTCCGCGCGCAGGAGCGCCTGTGGCGGAGGAGAGCGACGACTGAAAGGAGAAGGTACAGGCCAAAGATGATCCGACAAAAACCAGACACACACAACACACCTCTTTGGACACGCCCTGCGCGGGAGGGGTCGCAGAAACAGCGTTCCCAGGTGTCCGCGGATGGATCAGATGGCTGTTGTCTGCACCCCCTCCCGCGCGAGATCTGTCCCTACACCTCTTGGGCCAAGAGGTGTAGGGTGTGGGGTGTGGCTGTTCTCCAATCAGCTGGTGCTTCTAGGAGCCTATCGGGGCCGTTTGGAAGGAACTGCTGGAGGCCTTCCGGGAGTCCGTAGGGTATAGATGTTTCCATGATCTGGGGCCGTCCAGGAGCATGTCAGAGCCGTTTCGGGGAAGCTGCTGGAAGCTTTCCGGAAGCCTCTGGGGAGTTTTCTGGAGGCCGCCTGGGAGCCTCTGGGGGGCTTCTTGGTGGCTTGCTGGCAGTGGGGAGGCGGGAGGGGAGGGGAGCGCTCCAGAGTTGGGCCTGTTGGGCCTCCCTTGGGGCCGTCTTGGGGGGGCTGTTCGGTCGTCTTGGAAGTCCCCGCAGCAGACTTGAGGATCTCCGGGGCCGTCGCAGGGGGTCTCTGGGAAGCTCCCTGGGCGCCCTCTGGAGGAATTGGGAGGCTTCTCTGGGCGGGTTGAGCGTCTTGTTGCCGAAGAAGCGATCGTACAAAGAAGTGCGGACAAAACCTAAAGAGAAGCCATAGTTGTTCGTGCTTGTGACCCTCTCGGAGGCCATTGTATACAAAAACGAGGATTGCAGCCTATGCGCGCGCGGCACATCTCATCTTCTAAGACAGCTGTTGTTCGCGGCACGGCACGGCGAGCACAGCGAATCATGGCGCAAGAAGGCATCGGAGACGACAGACCTGCTCGTAACACGGTACTGAAGAGGAACCGCGCTTCGACGCTCTCGACACGCTCAGACGGGTGGCGGAGTCCGAGTGGGCCCGCCTGGGCGGGCAGTCGATCGGAGCTTCGACGTGCCGACAATTGGTGGAATCCGACTGGACCCAACCAGGACCAACCATGACGGACACGATCAAATGATTGAAGTGAGGACTTCTCATGCAACTTGCCCGGCGAAGTCGATGAACAGATGCCGTTCAGCTATCAAGATGCCAGCTCAGATATCAAGGTGCCGCTCAGGTACCAAGTCACTGAGCAACGATATCACGTAGGCGACTCCAACTTCGTAGCTGAATGAACATCAAAGCCATTAGATGGCACACGCATTCTGAGAGCCGTCGTGGGCCAGTAAGACGAGGAGGCCTACATCATGTGGTCTTCTTGGGGCTGACAGAAATAGGGGGCCGTCTTAGGCCTCTTCTGGGCCAGATTGGGGGCACCGAGGAGACATCTGGGGATCTCCCAGAGCGCCTCTGAGCTCTTAGGCCAATTGGAGCTGTCCTGTACTCCGTCTCAAGGTTGTTCTGACTAGGGCTGACCCGTTGACTACTGTCCACGAATGCCAGTGGTCAGAGTGCGCTTCCTGCTGCTTATTGCTTCAGTGTGCGCTGTGTGCTTGATGATTCCGAGGGCGCTCAGAGCAGCGCTGGCAGTATCAGCGGCAACAGATACTGGTACAGTGGCAGTGGCAACAGCAGCAGCTCCAACAGCTCCAGCAGCAGTGCGGCTCCACTAGCAGCGGCAGCAGCTCCAGCAGGAGCGCCTTTGGCGGAGGAGAGCAACAACGAGGAGGAAAAGGAGAAGACGCAAAACGATTAGAAAACACCACGCCCCACACATTTTGGGACACGCTCGGCGCGGAAGGGGGCGCAGAAACAGCGTTCCCAGGTGTCCGCGGCTGGATCGGACAGCTATTTTCTGCACACCCTCCTGCGCGAGACGTGTCCCAAGAGGTGTGTGGCGTGGCTTCTTCCAATCATCTGGTACCTTCGAAGAGCCTATCGAGGCCGTTTGGAGGGAGCTGCTGGAGGCCTTCCAGGAGCGTGCGGGGTGTGGCTTGTTCGCATCAACTGGGGCCTTCTAGGAGCACGACGGAGCCCCTTCCAAGGAGCTGCGGGAGGCTGTCCAGGAGCCTCTGGGGAGTGTTCCGGAGGCCGTCTGGGAGCCTCTGGGGATCTTCTTGGGGGCGTGCTGGCCGTTGGGAGGGAGGGGAGGCAAGGGAGGCCGTCGGGGGGTCTGTTCGACCGCCTTGGGAGCCCCCGGAGTCGTCTGGAGGGTCTCCGGGGCCCTCGCAAGGGCTTTCTTGGGATCTCCCTGGGCGCCCCCAAAACGAACTGGGAGGCTTCTCGGGGTGGGTGGAGCGCCCTTCGGCCAGAGAAGCGATCGTAAAGAGGAAGTCGGAGGTGAGGGGGTGAGATCGCAGTGAAACTGAGACCCACCCACCAGTACATCGGTTTCGGTTGTGTTCGTTACGCGCGTGCGGGCGAGGCGAAGCTGCTTGGGCAGACGAGAGGACTGAGCTGTCTGTCCTCTGGCTAGGGTTAAGTGGGGCCTGTCCCTCTACAGGGAGATTTTGCACGAAAAATAAAGCATAGCCCCAACATATTCAAAAATAGTCAGAACACGCTAACAAAAATCGTCCCCTGACTATTTATTAAAAATAATTGTTTGGATATTCCCCCTGTAGAGGGACAGGCCCGACATAAAGCTGCGTGGGCAGACGAGAGGACTGAGCTCTCTTCTGGCTAGGACGCAGCCGGGCCAAAAGACCGCCCCCTCCCAGTTGGCCGGGCCCGCGGTGACCTGTAGTGTCCCGTGGCGCGGTGTCCCATGGTGTCCCGTGAGGTCGATGGTGAGATCGATAGTGAGCTCAATAATGAGCTCGATTGTGGGACCGCTAACTCGTGAAATCGATTGGGTGAGCTCCAAGGTGAGATCGATAGTGAGGTCAACAGTGAGATCGACTGTGAGACCGATCGTGAGATTGACAGTGAACTCCAGAGTGAGATCGATTGTGATATGGATTGTCAGATCGATAGTGAGATTTATATTGAGTTCCATCGAGGGATCGATAGGGGTGTCGATAGTGGAATCGACATCGGAATCGATAATTCGATCGATTTGTAAGATCGATATTCAGATCGACAGTGATACAGCTTGTGAGATCTATCGTGAGATCGATGGTGCTTTGAGGAAGTTTCTGTGGAACTTACACCATCCAAACCCCGGCGCGTGAGAAAATCAGGCCCAACCGCGACCCGAGCGACAATTTCCAGGGAACGCACCAGGCGCACCGCGCGCGCCGGGCGTGTCCCACTAAGGGCCTCTCGCTCGAGACATCAGCGACCCCCCAGCGCGTGAGAAAGTCAGGCCCCGCCGCCGCGCCCCCGGGGGCCACTTCCGGAGAGCGCACCGGGCGCGCTGGGCGTGTCCCAGTCCCGGGGGTCCCGCTCGAGGCATCCTCGCAAAGACCCACGGGCGCGTGAGAAAGTCAGGCCCCGCCGCGCCCCCAATAGGACCGATTCCGGGGAGCGCGCCGGGCGCGCCGGGCATCTCCCAGTCCAGGGCTCTCGCTTGAGACATCCTCGCCAGGTCGCCGGATCGCTCGCCAACGAAGGCCCCCCAGCAGTTGGAGGAGGAAGAACATGAGGAGGAGGAGGAGGAGGAGGAGGAGTTCCGTTCGTTCCGATCCCATTCATGTCAACAGCCTGTCTGACTTTGCAACAAATGACACTGGGTCGGGGGCAGCTTTCTGCATCCCTCTCTCGCATGCTTTGTGTTGGGGGAGGCCAGCTGCGCTCACAATCTGTGAGCGTCTGGCGGATGTCCTCCCTGTTGAGGACCCGCGCGGGGGGACTGAGCGGCGCCCTGGCCGCAGCCTCTTAGACTGCTGAACGGAGAAAGGACAGAGAGGAGAGGAGCGGGACACACAACCACACAACACCACGCACACCACACAAACCACGCACGAGGCCAGGAGAAGGAAGGGAGCAGCAGCACCAGCGGGGGAGAGAAGCAGGACCACCTAACAGGCGGCAAGGGCAACAACAACCATCGGGTTTTTGCTAATCGCGCAATGGCCGGGCGCGATTAGCAAAAACCCGATGTTTTTAGACGACTGTACTTTACAAGTCGCGACAGGTCGAGCTATTCATGAGCATTCACGTGGCCCCCACAAACATTCCAAAGAGTTCTTTACTAGCCTCCTCATCAGCATCATAGTCAGCAAAATGCGGCTCAATGCTGAATTCTACATCTGGCTGTTGCAGGTCATTACTGCTATCTGCGGCTGGCTGGCTGCTGTTGACATCAACAGCTGGTTGGCTATGGTTTGCATCATTCTGCTGGCGATCGCGCCTGCCGAGATTTGCTAGCAACTGGAACGGGCGCTGGCGCTGGACACTCGGTGCCTGCTCGGGCGGCTCAGAGGGCCCGCGCAGGCCTGGAGGCGGAGGTACTCTATGGAACGTGTGCCTCATCTTCTTTCGCCTCGACTCCTCTACCTCTTGCCCTTGCCCTTCCCCTTGTTGCCTGACCCCAGCTTCCTGGCCATGTTGCCGCGCGGCGCCTTGTTGGTGAGCACGTGCCCGCCAGCTGCTCGAAGCTGCTCCGCGACGAGCATGTTGATGTCCATCAAGTAGCCCTTCATGCCGAGGATGGTCGTCGGCGTCTCGCACGGGTTCACCTGCTTGAGCGAGTCCCCCTTGGGCTCCGTCTCCGAGAGCGCCTGCATTATCTTGTCGTGATCGCTCTGCTCCGATGCGACGAGGATCTGGCCTTTGAGGTTGAAAGTACGGCGTGACTTCTGGGTTCGATCGGGTTTGTCGAAGGTCGGGTGGGTGAGCATCTCCTTGACCCATAGCTCCGCTACCTCTGGCCCCCCCTGCATCAACATCGTCTTGAGGCGTAGGATCGTGCGCGTGCAAGCGACCCGTCTCGGTGAGGTGTCCTTGTAGGAGTAGTTGCTCAAAACGTCGAGAACTGCGAAAGCACTCTGGCAAGCCGGCGTGCCATGCTCTCCGTCTGGGTTCTTCTTCTGCTCCGTCACGTACCTCTGGAAGGCCGCGAAGCACTCCGTCACGCACACGTGTTTGCGGTCCATGAGCACGCTGGTCAACTCTTGGTGCTCGAGCGTGCGAACTCGATTCTCGAGCTGGAAGAGGAGCGCCTTCATGGTGCCGACGTCCACGTCCTCGTCCTCGTCCCAGCTCTCGGCGGGGCCCTTGTGCTGCTTGTGCTTTTCGTCGCGACCTTGATCGCTCGCGCCTTGCGGGCGCAGGAGCGAACTGTGTGGCTTGGCGAGCTCCTGCCCAGGCTGGGCTGCCGCCGCTGCAGGAGCAGGATGCAGGAGGGGGAGGATGAGGCGACGGAGGCCAGGGGCAGGGGCACAGGGAGGAGGAGGAGGAGGAGGAGGAGGAGGAGGAGGAAGATCCTCACCCGCTTGATAGCACCCTCATGGCCCTCGCCTTTTTGACCCTTACCCTCATGATCATCACTCTGCTGATTCTCGCTCTCCTCACCCTCACCCTCCTGCCTCAAGATCCTGATCCTCAACTTCCTCATTATCATTATCATTCTCCCGACCCTCGCTCTCTCCTCGTGATGCCCACTCTGCCGATCCGCACTCTGCTGATCCTCCCTCTCCTGTTCAAAACTCGCCCGATCCTCACCTCTTCCTGATCTTCAAACTCCTGATCCTCGCTCTCCTGGCTTCATTCTGCACATCCTCACGCTCCTGCTCCACTCTCGCCAGCTCCTGAGCCGCATGACTCTCACTCTCCTGTTCCTCCCCCTCGCGAGCCTCGCCCTGCTGATCCTCATCCTCCTCATCCTCACGCGCCGCACCACCGCTTTTTCCGCGCGCGCGCCCCTTGTTTTTTTTATACAGAAGCTCCCGATCATCCACATAACGGCTGCTACTCGTATTGGTACCGTCATCGATATTAAGACCCGTAGTTAGATCGATAGTGAGAGGGATAGTGAGATCGATCGTAAGATCGATAGTTGTATCGATAGTGATACTGGTTGAGACACCGATCGTGAGACCGATTGTGGTATCGATAATGCGGGGGGAAAGTGAGGTCGATAGAGAGATCGAGATTGAGAGGGATGGTGAGATCGATCGTGATACCGATAGAGCGATCGATCGAGTGAGATCGATCGGGTAAGATCGATCGGGTAAGATCGATCGGGTGAGATCGATCGGGTGAGATCGATAGTGAGATGGATCATACTATCGATGGTGAAATCGATAGTACGATCGATGGTGATATCGACATTGAGATCGATTGTGAGATCTATAGTGTGATCGATTGTGATATCGATAGTGACGGTGATTGGGATATGGATATCCATCGTGATTCCGATCCTGAGGTCGATTGTGAGAGTGGTACTGGAATCGATAGTGAAATCAATGGAGTGAGGCCGACCTCTCTCCCCCAGAGCCCCCGTATGACCCGAAGGGTGGTCGTGTGGGTAGGAAGAGAAGCTGTGGAGCACCGACTGTGCGCTCGTCCTCGTGGCCCTCTCGGAGGCCGTCTGGGAGCCCTGTGGGATCTGGCAGGGGGCGGGCTCGGGCCTTCTGGGAGCCCCCTCGCGCTGCGGAGGGCAGGAGGGACGCCCCGGTGGGCCTCGCGGGGCACCCGTGGGGCTCCCTCTCTTGGCAGGACGTCGGAGACCCGGGGAGAGCGGAGACCGCGGAGGCGCCGCGGAGGGGGGGCCCGCCAGCAGCCTCTGGCGCGCACAGTGCCCGGTGCTGCGGAGACGGCTGGGGGCTGGCCCGCGGACTCCGTCCGCGTCGGCCGGCCTGTCCGGCGTGCCCGTTTCTTGCGAGTGCTTGCTGCTTGCTTGCGCGCTTGCTGGCCGGCTTGATGCTTGCTTCTCGGGGGCCTCGGGGGCTGCCTGGCAGCCCTGGCCGGGCCCTCGGAGGGTCAGGGGGCCGTCGGAGGGGGTGGCCGCCCTCCTGGGACGATCTTGAGCCGCCTTGGGACAGCATCAGGGCAAATGCTGGACATTAAGAAGCGCACGCGCGCCTCATTTCCCAAGGATGTTGCAGCGTGACTATGGCCGCCAGAGGAGACCGGAAGAGACGCGCGGCCTGCGCAGGCTCGGAAAGAGGCAGCAGCACTGCGGAGCATGCTCCCTGTCGCTGGCGGGTCGGGAGCACTCTCAGGGAGAACTCCCCGGCGGGTCGCCCATTTAGACCCGAGCAGCTCCAAAGAAGGGAGGCTAATAAGAAGCGCATGGGTGCCTGCTTCTCCTGGGTGGCTGGCGCGGTGCCCAGAAGGGATCTTCCCTCGGAAGCATCTTGGAGGAGGGTTTGGGGGCGTCTTCTGGCCTGATTCGGACCTCTTGGGGCTTTGGGGGGCCTCCGCGGGGCCTGCTGGCGGTCTTGGGGGTCATCTTGGGGCGGAGGGCGCGGAATGTCAGGTCGAGCTTGCCTTCTCGGGGCCCCGTTGGGGCAGTCTTGAGTCATCTTGGGGACCTCTTGGGCCGTCTTGGGGGCCTCTTGGGCTGCCTTGGGGAGGGAGGAGGGACGAGTCAGGATGGAGGAGCGGCGCGGTTCCAGAAGCAGTGAAGGGTACCTGTGCAGGTGTGAGGGCCCCGAGCTGTCTGCAGCCCCCCCCCCTGGGTCGCCCCGAGCTGACCGACTGGGAGCTCGCGTGGGGTCAACCTCTGCCCTCTTTGGGCCCTCATGGCGTCCCTTGGGGGCCTCGTGGGATCCGTTTTTGGGGGGGTCCCTTGCCTTCGGGGGGGCCATCTTGGCGTCCTTCGGGGCCTTTGGGTGGGCCATCTTGGCGTCCCTCCGGGCCTTTTAGGGGGCCCTTCCTGGGCCATCGTGGCGTCCCTTGGGACCTCTGGGGGCCGTTCTCGGGAGGGTCTGGTGCAGGGAGGGGGCCATTTGGGGGGATCTGCACATGTAGCAGCAATCACGCGCAGCAGCGTTTTTTCGTTAGCTCGGGCAGCACTCTGGGCAACACTGCCTGTACCCTCGCTTCCTTGGCGGGTTCGAGCCTCACGCCGACGGACGACTGCATATGCTCATCAGGCTCCGGTGCCGAAACAGCTACCACAAGGGGCCGTTCCTGGGGGGTCCGGGGCCGGGAGGGGGCCATCTGGGGGGATCTTGGGGGCCAGTTGGAGCGGCCTTGGGGCTGCCTTGGGGCCGCCCTGGGCGCGAACGACGGCACCTTTGAGACCCCCTTGGGGGCGCAGTGGGTTCCTCTGGGGACTTCTCGGACCATCTTTTGGACTGCACCAGGGCCCAGAGGCCAACGTATGAACGTCGGACCAACGTATGGGACCTCTCTGCGAACGGCGGCACCAGGGCCCCACTGGAACCCCGCAGGGCAGTCGGAAGCAATACTTCGTGAAACGTGGAAGTGAACTGGCTTCTGACAGATTGGAGCTCCTGCATGGTGCCCCTCCGCGGACGATCTGCGGCCCTCCTGTGGAACCTCTGAGAGTCAACACGTATAATAAGGATGCACGATAAGGATGCAAGGGCCTTGGACGCCCATTTCGAAGCTTTCCGAGCGGGGAGCGGCCAACGAAAGTGCCCAAGGATGGGCCGAGGAGGCAAGGATGTAAGGGTACCATTGGGAAGGTTGCCCATCCTTACTATGCGGGTTGACTGTACCAGATTGGCCCCTGACCAGAAGGCGGCCGCTGGAGCGGTCTCTGGAGCGAGCCTGGGGTTCGTTGCCGCCGCCACTGATCCCTTTTAACGGTAGTACAAATGACGTTTGGCTCAAGCTTCACCTCTCGCATGTCGCGGAGCAGTGCCAAAGCCCGCTGCCACTGCCATCCCTTCTCGCACGCGCTGGTTACAGCGCAGAAGCTGACTAGGGGGAACGCGTGGCATACCGTCCACGAAATCTGTCCGAGATGGTACGCAGGGTCAGGGAGGAGATGTTGCTGAAGTCTTTCAAATGACGGTAGGCTGGAGCTTCGCCTCTTTTGCTGCTGCCTGCGGCTGCAGAACGCCGCTGCCTGCTCCATGCTGGTGCTGATCGCTGTTGCTGTGTGCTGCCGCTTGTGCTGCTGGCTGCGGACTGTGTGCTGCTGCTGCTCGAGGCCGTCAGGGCCGTCTAGGAGACCTCTTGGGGGCTGAATCGGCCACCGATTCTCGAGGTGCGTTAGGACTTCGGAACGCCTCTAACATCTCAGGGACCTTCTGGCTGCTGTTCGGGGGTAGGGGCGGTCGGGGGTGTGTTCGTGGGGCATCCTGGGGCGGTCTTGGGCCGTCTTGAGGCCGTCTGACGCCGTGTTGGTGGCATTTGGAGCGGTCCAGGTCTCTTGGGCCGTCTTCGTCACCCTCCCGGGGCGATATCGGGGGCCTCTTGGGCCGTGCTGGGCGGCCCAGAACCGAAAACGCACGTGTACGAGAGCCGGTCGAAGACCTGAGACAATTGTTTTGGCGTGTGCTACCTCTCTCGGGGGTGCTCCTGGAGCCTTCTTGGGACGTCTTTTGGGCTTCCTGGCCCCTCTTGGGGGCGCGACCTTCAGGCTCCTTTGGCCGTCTCCGAACCCCTCTTCGGCCGACTGGAGCTCCTCCTGGACCGCCAAGAGAGGCTCCAAGTGACCGCCCGCCTCCCGGACCGGCTGTGCCCCGGTCGGGCAAAGCCCCCACGAGGTCAGAGGTCAGAGGCGCTGCTCGTTAAATTCAGACTCGCGGCAACGGGTATTGTGAACGAGATGATGTCGGGTTTTAGCTTCAAGTCCCACATATCGTCGAGCAGCGCGAGGGCCCGCTGCCACTGTTCGCCTTTCTCGCACGCGCTGATCCCCGCGTTGTAGCTGATTGCGTTGGGCACCAACGTCAGTCCCCACATCTCGCTGAGCAGCGCCAGAGCCTGTTGCCACTGGTTGTCTTTCTCACACGCACTGATTCCAGCGCTGTAGCTGATGACGTCGAGCTCCAGCTTCGCCTCCCGCATTCCGCCGAGCAACGCAATCGCCTGTTGCCACTGCCCGCTTTTCTCGCACGCGCTGATTCCAGCGCTGTAGCTGAAAATGTCCGGGTCTACGTTCGCTTCCCGCATGTCGCTGAGAAGAACAAGGGCACGCTGCCACTGACAGCCCTTCTCGCACGCGCTGACCGCAGCGCTGTAGCTGACCAGGGTATAACCAAGCAACGCATCCAAATCTGATACCCACGATACCTGTCTTCGGGCAGGGACTACGCAGGAGAGTGAGAGTGGGACGGAGCGTAAAGAGGGCGTATCATCTGTCAAACTCCCTGGGGGTCCTAATCGCAATAGGTCGCCCGTAGCCTCGCTTGGCCGATGCTGCCCCCCCTCAATCCGCTTTCGCGTTCTCGCCACGGCACTGGATGCCGTCACTTTCGAAAGCGAGGCTCACACTTGAGCGGTTCGGTGCTCTCCCCAAACGAACCCCTCAACAACAGTCATTTTGAGACTGCTCGCTCTCATCGGTTCGCGTGTCAAAGAACGTGCCCCAGACCCTTAATACCAGTCCTCTTCGTGTTCGATCGCGCCCACCTTGGGGGTAGATCTTCTTGCCTGCCAAGTGAAGTTGGCGCAGCCCCCAACACACGAAGAGCTGGGTGACAGGAAAGAAGAGACACATACGTATATTTATATGTCTGTAGATATATATATATATATATCAACATAGATAGAGAGACAGAGAGAGAGAGAGAGAGTGAGGAAGAGAACGAGGAAGAGAGAGAGAGAGAGAGTGCGAGGAGGAAACAAGTGCGGGAAGGGAGGCGCGAAGGGCATCGATGGGAGCCACGAGGGCAGCGACGAAGGCGCGGAAAGCGACTGCGGAATCACGAAGGGCAGTGAGGGGTATCGAAGGCGGACGAAGGGTAACGAGGGGCGAATGCGATTCCTAACGGGCGGATCGGCAACACCCATATCCCGAATCCTCGATACCCGCCCCATTCGTGTTCCATCGTGCCTTCTTTGGGGGGTATATCTTCCTTCTGTCTGCCACGTGTAGTCGGCGCAGCCCCTAACACAGGAAGAGGAGGGAGAACGGACAAAGGAAAAGCGCGAGGAGGAAAGGAGCGGCAGAAGGGAAGGAGGCGGTGAAGGCCAACGGGGGGAGGGGGGAGGAGGAGGAGGAGGAGGACGATGCAAGACGAGAGAATTTAGCAGGACATCAAGCAGCAAAAACAGACGGGCGGGTCGAGCGGCGGAACCTAAAACGTGGGTCAGGCCGGCGGGGCGGGCGGACCCTAATGGGCTAGCCGGGCCATGAACCTCGTGCAAGGGTCGTGCGGGAGGGGAACTACATACGGCGGGCGGGCGAGCTTCCAAGCGAACGTAGGGTCGGGCCGTGACAGGCGGATTGGGCGGGCGGATCCTGACTGTCGGATCGGAAACAAATCATAAGGGAGTCCTGGGAGAAACCGTGATTCCTTAATGTGGATCTCCCACGCGGCAGAGCGATTCCTGGATATATCGTGGGGAAATCTGGAGCGGAAGCGGGCTTCCTGAATAACATGCTAGAGATTGAACTGGGAACCGTACAATCACGAACGTTGCGCCTCATGACCTTTCCCTGATCAAAATTTTCCTCCCGAAGGACCCAACCATGCGCAGCTGTGAGTGCCGCGGCTGTGAGCATTGCCTTCAGTGGAGTTCCAGATGGGGCCGCGAAGCGTGTGAGCGGTGTGCAGGATCGGGTGTTGGTACGGCCCGGCCTGGATAATAATCACATCCTTCAAGAACCCGAGACCCTCCACCAGCCAAGATACACAGAACATCCCAGGGTACCCTCCACAGGGTGCACAAGAAAACCCCACAAGCACCAACACCATGAGGGTACCTTCTCTGAACCGACCTCGATCTTATATCTCGGTCCGACCGTACGCCATGTGGGCCCTGCCGCTAGGGCCTTCGGTGGAGCTCCCTATTGGGCCACGAAGCGTGTGAAGGGTGTGCCGAATCGGGCGCGGGTGCGCCACGCGAGCGCAACCCTCGGTGGAGCTCTCCTATGGGGCCACGAAGCGTGTGAAGGGTGTGTCGAATCGGGTGCGGGGGCGTCATGCGAACGCAACCGCTGGGATTTCCGGAGGGGCTCACATATTGGGCAATGTGAGCGCAGCCTCTCGGTCCCTCGGCGGAGCTCCTCATGGGGTCACGCAACGTGCGAGGACTGTGCCGGATCTGGTGCGGGGGCGCCATGCGGACGCAGCCCTTGGGGCCTTCGGTGGAGCTCCCTATGGGGCCACGAAGCGTGTGATGGGTGTGCCGGATCGGGTGCGGGTGCGACGTGCGATCGCAACCACTGGGGCCTTCGGTGGAGCCCCTCTCCATGGGGTCACGAGACGCGTGAAGGGTATACCGAATCGGGTGCGGGTACGCCGTGCCAACATAGCAGCTGGCAACCGTCGGAAGGGCTCTTTACGGAGCCCCGAATGGTGTGAGGGATGTGCTTAATCGGGCGCGCGCACGCCAAGCGAACGCAGCCGCTGGGGCCTTCGGCGGAACTCCATATGGGGCCACGCAACGTGTGAGGGGTGTGCCGAATCGGGCGCGGGTGCGCCATGCGATCGCAGCCACTGGGGCATCCGGGGATACTCCCTATAGAGCCACGGAAAGCGTGAGGGGTTTGACACAGGAGGGTCGGGAATCTGATCGTGATGACGAAGACGACGGTGACGATGATGATGCGGTGATGGTGATGGTGACGCTGGCGATGATGATGGCGATGAGGACACGCGGAGAGCAGAGGCAGGCATGGGAAGAGGAAGGAGGAGAGGAGAGCAGGAAGGCAACGCGGGGCGCTGTCTCTGCAGATCGAGAACCCACTGCCACATGACGGTTGGGAAAAAGGTGCGAGCTCCGAGGGGGACCCTTCAATTGAGACAACAAAAATCGGCACCAGGCGCTGGGGACCAACCCGGATCATTCTTCGGAGCTGGGAATTGAAAATTAAACGCTTCCGCTCGAACCTTCCTAGCTTTTTTCGGAGGAGTGGCGTTCTCGCCCCGCGGACGAGAGCGCCCCTCCACCAAAAATAGCGTTCCGTCGCTGTCCCCGCCACCCGAGCCGGTGGCCCAGACGAGGGGGCAGCAGCGGCAGCGGCGGCGCCGAAACGCGCCCAGAGCCCAGCAGTGAGGGTGAAGCCCGATCTGCCTGGCGGACGCTCTGAAGGCGGGGGGGGCCTGTGCTCTCCACCACGTGCCCCACGCCTTCGACCCGCGCCCCCGTGGTTTACGACTGCGCCCCTCGGCTCCCTGCTCATGCCACCAGGTGGGTCAACCCAGGGATGCTGGAGTCGTGAACAAAAACCACGACGCCAAGATAAGGCATGCACCCTGAAGTTGTTGGTGGCTAGGAGGAGGAGGAGGAGGAAGAATTTCGGCGTGAACGCCGAAGGGGCAAAGGCCAACGGGCGGGGTGGGCGGAGCCTAACGGGCGGATCGAGCGGGCAACACCCCAATGGGCGGGACGGGCAAACGGGACATTGCAGCGGGCGGGCTTCCAGGGAGGCGGACTGGTGGGCCCTACCAGGCGGCTCGGGTGGACTCTGACGGGCGGGTCCGGCGAACCCCAAAGGGCCGGTCGGGAGGGCAGTGACGGGCCAGCTGGCGTGGCGGACGCAAATGGGCTGACGGGCGGGCGGGACGTTCTTGAAGCCAAGAACGGGAGCGAAGTCCGATAGTAACTTGTACGCAGCACCCCGCAGATGCGGGTAAGAGTGAGGGGGCGGCGGGGACGTCGGCAGTTTACGAGACTCTGGAGAAGCCCGCCCGCAGGCGCCAAAGTTTCACACATTACAACGAGACCGCC